GAGGCTTAACAACTTTAAAATTCTCTTGAAAAAGCTCCTCTTAGTAGAGGCTCAACAATTTTAAAATTCTTTTGAAAAAGCTCTTCTCAGCAGAGGCTCCATAACTTTAAAATTCTCATCTTGGAAAAGCTCCTCTCAGTAGAGGCTTAACAATTTTAAAATCTCATTTTGGAAAAGCTCCTCCCAGCAGAGGCTCAACAACTTTAACTTTAAAAATCTGATTTTGAAAAAGCTCCTCTCAACAAAGGCTCAACAACTTCAAGAATTTCATCTTGGAAAAACTCCTCTCAGTAGAGGCTCAACAACTTTAAAGTCTTATATCTTGAAAAGGGCTCATCTCAGCAGAGGTTCAACAACTTTAAAAATCTCATCTTTAAAAAGGCTCCTTTCAGCAGAGGCTCAACAACTTTAAAAAATTTTCATCTATTTTCAAATTTGAACAAGTAAATTTCCCTCTTTTGAATTCTTTTGTTTAATCATTGTCTTTATCAAAATCTTGTTTTTCATTAAGAAATGAAAATTTTCTATCTTTGTTACAACTTCTCATGGATGCATATACTGAGTGCTCTAAATGTAATGCATGTAATGCAATTAAAATTATGCATTGTAGTAAAAAAGTTTTCAAAATCTCTCATTTTTTGCTTTTTTATCTGATTTCTCAACAATTGCTATATAACCAATCTGTTCTTAATTTCTGACCATTTTATTCTTCATTTTTCCTCTTCTAAAGTCTGCAACATCAATGTCTTATCATGCTTTTCATCCTTTTTCATTTGCCTTTATCAATTTTAAAAGTAATGCTGAGATCTTTCATGTTTGTTTTTCTTTTCATTATTTTAAGTTCAAGACAAATAAAATGCAATCACACATTTCTTTTATTCACTTGTACGATAAACAAAAATATTAGATAAGGATAAAGGAAAGGATAGGCATTATTTTCAAAGGAAAGGGCTGATAACAAGTGCATGGCAAAGTGCTTGAGTTGAAACAAAGGTGCCCAAATAATGATCACAAGATAATCATGAACAAAAAATTCTCAGATTCTTTCTTTAAAACTAAATCAGGTGACTTCTTTGATTTTTTAGAGTTTGTCAAACTATACTTGCCCCTGTGTTATGGGATCTTCTTCTGATGATGCTTCTGCTTCACATCCAAGCCACCTTTTCAGGTTTTTAGCTTAGATAAGTTAACATTTTTTCTTCTTTTTTTTAAGCAAAATATTTTTTTACAGTATCTAAATTTATTGGAGTAGGTAAATCACCTCCATCCATCTCTACCAAAATCAATGTCCCACCAGAAAAGGCTTTTTTCACCACATATTGCCCTTCCCAATTTGGTATCTATTTTTCTTGATTATCATGTTGATTTGGAAGGATTCCTTTTAGCACTAAATCTCCTTCCCTAAAGCAACGGGGATGAATTTTCTTGTCATGTGCTCTCATCATCCTCTTTTGATATAATTGACCATGACAAAGTGCTGATAGTCTTTTCTCTTCAATGAGGTTTAACTGCTCCTAGCATTTCAAACCCATTTTGCTTCCTCTAACTCTACCTCTATCAAGACACTCGGTGAGGAAATTTCTACTTCGACCAGTAGCACAGCTTCCATTCTATATACCAAAGAGAACGGGGTGGCCCCAGTAGATGTTCGGACTAATGTTCTATAAGTATGCAAAGCAAAAGGCAACTTCTCATGCCAATCTTTGTAAGTTTCAGTCATTTTTTTTAGAATTTTTTTGATATTCTTATTCGTAACCTCCACTGCCCCATTCATTTTTTGACAATATGGTGCCGAATTACGATGACGGATCTTAAACTGAGTGCATACTTCATTCATCATCTTGTTGTTCAAGTTTTTGGCATTATCAAAAATAATTATCTCTGAAAGCTCATATCTATATATTATCTCCCTTTTTATGAACCTACATACCATAAATCGGGTCACGCTAGCATATGATACAGCTTCTACCCATTTGGTGAAGTAATCAATCATCACAAAAATGAATCTATGCACATTCAAAGCTTTTGGAGTGATAGGACCAATGACATCCATGCCCCACATAGAGAATGGCAACGGAGGAGCCAGAACATTTAGTGTTGATGGTGGAGCATGAATCTTGTCAGCATAAATCTGATATTTATGACATCTCCTAGCATAATCAATACAGTTGCCCTCTATTGTCAACCAATAATAACCAGCCCTCATAATTTGTCTAGCCATCATATGACCATTTGCATGTGCCCCACAAACTCTATCATGCACTTCTTCAATAATCTTCTTTGCTTCAGTTGCATTTACGCATCTTAAGAGCACTTGATCTTGACCTCTTTTATAAAGGATATCTCCATCAATGAAGAAAGTCATAGCCAATCTTCTGATAGTCCTCTTATCATTTTCTATTACATGTTCTAGGTATTGCTGGCTTTTAATGTATTGCATGATATCATAATACCATGGCCTCCCATTAACTTCTTTTTCGACACTTGAGCAATGTGTTGGTACATCCTTCACATTCAGCTTGATGGGTTGGATTTCAGTATTTGCATCTATTTTAATCATTACAGCTAGAGTAGCCAGTGCATCAGCAATTTGGTTTTTCTCTCTAGGTAGATGCTCAAACTAAACTTCTTTAAATTGCTTGACTAACTCAGAGATGTATTTATGGTACCGGATTAACTTAGAGTCTTTTGTCTCCCATTCACCTCGTATCTAATAAATAACTAAAGCTGAATCTCCAAACACATCTAACATTTTGATCTTTTTTTCAATTGCTGCTTGTAAACCTATAACACAGGCCTCATATTCAGCCACATTGTTTGTGTAATTGAAATTTAACCTGGCTGTGATGGGGTAATAATGTCCATTAGGAGATATCAAAATTACCCCAATAACATGACCTAAAAGCATTAGTAGCTCCATCAAAATACATCATTCATGATTTTTCAACAGGTTCATTTTCTTCAATGGCCATCACATCCTCATCAGAAAAATCTAATTTTATTGGCTTATAATTTTTGACTGCATGATCAGCAAGGAATTCAGCTATTGCACTCCCTTTAATAGCCTTTTGAATCACGTAAATGATATCATATTCTGAAAGCATAACTTGCCACCGTGCTATTCTTCCTGTCAATGAGGGCTTTTCGAAGATATACTTAATAGGATCTAGCTTTGCTATGAGCCAAGTAGTGTGATAAAGCATATATTGTCTAAGCCTTCGAGTTGTCCAGGTTAATGCACAACACATTTTCTCTAATGGTGAATACTTGGACTCATAATCAGTGAATTTCTTACTCAAGTAGTAAATTGCTCGTTCTTTCTTATCAGTTTCATTTCTTTATCCCAGCACACATCCCATTAAATTTTCATACACTGTCAAGTACAAAATCAAAGGTTTTTTTGGCATTGGTGGTAACAACACAGGTGAATTTGACAAGTATTCTTTGATCTTATCAAAAGCTTCTTGGCATTTGTCATTTCATTCTTCAAAATCATGTTTTCTGAGAAGTTGAAAATAAGATCACACTTATAAGTGAGTTGAGAGATGAAGCGAGCAATATAGTTTAATCTCCCTAAGAAACCTCACACTTCTTTTGAGGTATGAGGAAGAGATAAATTTTGGATGGCTTGTATCTTATTTGGATCAACTTTGATTCTTTTTTCACTAACTATAAAGCCTGATAGTTTTCTTGATTTGGCTCTAAATGTACATTTGGCAGGATTTAACTTCAACTGAAATCTTCTCAACCTATCAAATAGTTTTTTAAGATTGACTACATGATCCTCTCTTTCATGAGTTTTATGATCATATCATCTACATACACTTCTATCTCTTTATGCATCATGTCATGAAAGAGAGTCACCATTGCTCTTTGATAAGTAGCACCAGCATTTTTTAACCTAAAAGGCATAACTCTATAATAGAATGTCCTTCACATAGTCATAAATGTGGTTTTTTTCATATCATCTTGAGCCATCTTAATCTGATTATAGCTTGAGAAATCATTTATAAAGGAAAATGTAGAGTGCTAGTAGTATTATCTACTAGAGTATCGATATGGGATCGAGAAAAGTTATCTTTAGGACTTACCCTATTTAGGTCTCGATAATCGACACACATTCTCACTTTTCCATCCTTCTTAGGAATTAGTACTATGTTGGCTACCCATTCAGGATATTTTACCACCTCCAAAAATCCAGCATCAAATTGTTTCTTCACTTTCTCTTTAATTTTTAGTAGTATCTCTGGTTTTATGCGCCTTAGCTTTTGTTGTACTGGTTTAAATTTTGGTTTCAAAGGCAACTTATGTTCTACAATATCAGTACTGAGCCCTAGCATATCCTAGTAGACCATGCGAATACATTCACATATTCTCAGAGTAGCTCTTCTAGCTTCTGCCTTTCAGTTAGTAAAAAGGATGTACCAATTTTGACATCTTTTTTGTTTTTACCATCTCTCAAATTTACTGATTCGATAATTTCTTGGTGAGGTTCAATTGGCTTATCTTCATGTTTCATTAATTTTAATAAATCAGGAGGCAGTGTGTAATTATCTGAATCTTCCTCATTATCAAGTTCATCAACATGAATTAAGTTTTCAAAATCAAATCCAAGATTATTGCCATGATTATCTTCATGTTCATTATTTGGGACCCTGGAAAAGGGTAAAATGAAGAGAATACTAGCACACAAAAATGGAATGGTAAGAAAATGATGGAAAAAGCAAACAAAAAGAAAAATGAAGATGAAAACAATAGAAGAAATACGGATGCATCTTCTAAGTCTTTTATTAAAATGACAAACATAAAGACACCACAAAAGATCACCCAATTCTTATAAAAGCAATTAGAGATTTAAAGTTTCACATTACTTTTCAAAAATTTTAAAGACAACAGGTAGCTCTACTACTCTCTAGTTATTTAGCTCAAAATTTGTAGGACAAGGGTGTACGAGCAACTCTTCATCTCGACTCTTCTTTTTCTTGTCATCCACCATTTGAATGGCTAGCTTAGAAAACTCTTTCACAAATCCTGCATTTAGGGCTATAAGTAGATCTGGGTATATATATCTTCCCAAATGAAAAGAATCATAGAGGTATGGAATGACCATAGGTTCTGACTTCGGCTCATATCCCCCAAGATTAGCCATCATTTTATTTTTCTTTTTCATTCACCATTCTCACTTTATCCCCTCTTATTGGCTTATACCTTAAGCTAAATCTGTCTTTTTTGTCATGTATAGTCGATGGCTTCGCGATTCCTTGCAGGTTCTTCCTAAGTCCAGCTCCAGGTTACCATCCCATCTTGGTAAGCTGTTTGACAACCAATTCAATTGTCGTAGACAAGTGTGGTAAATACAATTTAGATCCCTCAGTCACATATGTTGCGTTAGCAATCTCGAAAGATCTATATGAGTATTCTAGGGCTTTATCTACTACTTTTACATAAGAAGTATTTACTGGTTGGGTGATTAATAATTTTTTTCTCCTACTACACATATCAATTTTCCATCAATAATCAATTTGACTTTCTGATGTAATGAGAATGGAACAACACCTGTCATATGGATCCATGGTCTACCCAATAAGCAACCATATGAAGGAGAAATATCCATAACTTGGAATTTCACATTGAAAATGCATAGGCTAATCTGTAATGGCATTTTTATGTCTCCTAATACCTCTTTTCGAGTTCTGTCAAAGGCTCAAACTATCATATGACTAGGTTTCATATAAGATTCATCAACATAAAGATTTTCTAGAGTAGTCATAAGCATAACATTGATGGATGAGCTATTATCAATCAAAACCTTAGCCATTATATGACTCTTACATTTAACAGTAATGTGGAGAGCCTTGGTATTTCCACGACCTTCAAGAGGAATCTCTTCATCACTAAAAGAGATATAGTTTGTAATTGTTAGATTGCCAATAAACTGTTTCACATATTTAACAGAAGCATTGTGAGACACATATGCTTGATTTAACACTTTCAACAGAGCATTACAGTGTGACTCTGAGTTGAGCAATAACGACAATAGCGAAATTCTAGTTGGCATCTTATTCAACTATTCTACCATGCTATACTCACTATATTTTATTAGCTTTAAGAATTCATAAGCTTCACTCTCAGAGACTGACTTCTGAAATTCTTTTCCTGAAGCTGTGATAAGATTATTCTGACTTTTCTCTTTTTCTTTTACCTTTGTTTTCTCTTTCCTGACTTTCTCTAAATCTTCTGGAGTATAACATCTCTCACTTCGGGTCATGCTTTCTACACTCGTTATGTTTGTAGTATCTAGATTAACTATGACATCACAATCATACTTTCACAGTACTGCTTTTATCATTCTGATATGAAAAAAGACCAGAAACTTTAATTGTCACCACTAGTCGGGAGACGAGCTTTTCTAGCTTTAATGTTGGCTCTGCATCATAATCGATAGTTACCAGTCTATGCACAAACTTATTCTTTGAATCAATGGTAGATACTTCAGCTTTCACCAACTTTTTTCTTTCTTCGTAAAACTTTATCTGGCCTATATCTATCAACTTCTGCACCTCTTGATGAAATTAATGACAACTCTCGATAGAATGCCCCAAAGCACCTTTGTGATAATTGTAGCTTTCAGTTGAGTTAATCACTTCGGAGTAATTTTGAGGGTCTATTGGCTTCAACATGTCAATTTTGACCAAGGCTTCAAACCCATTAGCAATAAGAGTTTTGACCTCTTCTATTCTTCTTTTCACATAACTTGTTTGCCTATCAACCAAAGCATTTATTGATGGCCTAGTATGATTCAGTAGAGGGTTCTTATTAACATTTGGAGTCCCTTGTTGGTTGGTATCAAAGTTTAACACCCCTTTATTAATTAACCCCTACACTTTGCGCTTCAAAGTAATACAGTTCTCAGTGGAATGACCTGGATTCCCATAGTCATAATCACAATGCAAATTAGGGTCATACCATTTGGGAAACGAAGGTTTCAAAGGTTCAACAATAATAGGAGCAAGTAAATGTTTCTCAACAAGTCGAGGATACAAATCTGTGTATGTTATGGGAATGTGATCGAAAATTAGTTTTTCTTAGATATTTCTTAGGGCTTTTGGACCGCTATTAGGTCTCTATTTTGGTCTTATAGGTACAGTAGGATGGTTATAAGAATAGGTGGGAGTCCAAAAAGATGGCTGAAAATAGGATAGATAAGCTGGTGGTTGTAGTGGTTGGTATGGTTGATATGGATAAGGGATAGATGTAACATTGTTTATGGAAGGGTAATGGGTTTAGTAGACTGATACAGAGTAGGGCGTGAAACCTTTAAACTGTTACCCCACATAGTTTACTACTTAAGCTTCATTCTTTTTCTTTTTGGGAGCTCCACCTTTCTTTACTCCACTTGTCTTTCTTGTATCAAGCTAGCCATTCTTTATGGCACTTTCGATAATCTCACCCGATATCACCATATCTGTAAAGTTCTTGGTTGCATTACCTATCAATCTCTCATAGTATGGTACTTTCAGAGTATTCACAAATAAAATAGTTATCTTTTTCTCGATTAGAGGAGGTTGGACTTGTGCAGCCACGTCTCTTCATCTTTGTGCATACTCCTTGAAATTTTTAATTACTTTTTTTTTATACTTTGTAGAGATAGATGATTTAGAACCAGATCTGTGACATATCGATATTGTGTAAAGAATGCCTTTGTAAGCTCTTGCCAAGAACGAATACGAGTCCTATCTAATTGAACATACCATTTAGCTGTAAAATCTGTAAGACTATCTTAAAATATATGCATTAACAACTTCTTATGCTGTCATCTTTCGACAATACATGGTGATATGGGTTATCGAGCATTTTGTGCCATCATATGTTTCAAATTCAGAGACCTTGAATTTAGGTGGAATGACTACATCAGGGACTAAACAAAGCTTAGTTGCATTTGTGAAACCATAAAAATTCATTCCTTCCACTGCTCTAAGCCTCTCTTCTAATAACTTCATCTTTTCTTAAGCACTATTATCTTTCACTTTCTCAGATATTTTTATCCCTAGCTTTTCTTTTTCTTTGGGATTATCCAAATCAAGAACTAGGATTGACTTGGGTGGTTTTTCCATCATAACAAGATTAACAAAATTTTGAAATTATCCTAGAGCAAGTGTGAATGTCATTTCTGGATAAGAATTGGGATATCCACAGAAAATAGGAATTTGTACTCTAGTTCCTTGAAAAGGTTGAGTCGGTTGTGGCTCAAACCCTGAAGGATAAATAGGATCCACCATATCTGACGATTACTCTTGAAAGCTGAGATTTTCTTCTACTACTTTTTTCTTGTCAAGTTTCCTGAGCATATCCATTATTGTACTGAGATCCCCTCTTAGTTTTTCTTGAGTTTTCTCGATTCTCTCAAATAGACTGGTCTATTCTTGTTTCGTAATTCTTGTTTGAGTCCTGGTGTTGTATGAATGGTGAGTGGGTTAAGTCAAAATTTTTGAAGGGTGAGCTATTCTTGAACCTTTATTACCATAAAATTTTTAGAAAAATCAAAATGCCATGTGTCGAAATTTTTATTTTTTTTGAAATTTAAAAAAGAAAATGGTGCAAATGATGCATGAATGCAAGTGAAAAATATTTGCTCCTGGACAAATTTCAATACTAGAAATTTTCATTGATTTCATACAACTTTGATTACATAAGATTTATCATCCTAGAATTATATCCATAGAAGCGTTTGACTTGCTCATAATGGTCTTTTACCTCATCTAGAAAGTTTACTAGGTGCTATCCATATTCTCCTATAAGATTAACTTCTTGTCTTAATACTTCTACCTTTTCAACCATCTCTCGTGCTTTTTTTACTGCCTTACAAACTTGACTGGTTATGTGCTTTATGTATTGTTAACTCCTTAAACTTTTTGCTTTCCACATCATGCGAGCATCTCTTTTTGAATCACATGTGAAGATCTAATCTTTTTCCCTTCTATGTCATTCATCTATCATTACTGAAATATGGTTCTTGTGATCTTGCAATTGTAGCTCCAACCTTCGGATTATCTGATGAAGTGATTCTTTCTCATTTAGTACTTCAAAGTGCTTTCTTTTTTCTTTTGCAAGCATGGCTTTCAACTTTTTTTTTTTTTTGTATTCCACCAATCTTGCTGAGGTTGTAGAGTATAATCCCTTCCAATTCTGGCATTCTTGAGAAATTCTAGTGGTCTCTTCTTGCTTTTCTTGAGCTTTGCCTTTCCATTGATTTATTTCTTCTTGGGAGCTCATCCACTTCATGTTGCCAACTAAGGTAAGACTTAGTGACTTTTTCAGTTTTGAATTGGATTCATAACCTCTTGTTTTCCTAGTGTAGATCTTTCAAATCACTATTAGCCACATCTCATTCTTTTATGGTTTTTTTTAATCTGCTCCCTTGTATCTCTGCTTTATACTTCAGTTGTCCCACCTTTTCACGAAATCTCAAATTTTTTCTTTTTATTTTTTCTTTTTCAGCTTCTAATTCTTTCTTCACAAACTTAACTTATGATAATTGAACTTCTATTGAAAGATTAGCTAATTGGTGTGAGCTATCATCAGGAGAGAGTACTATGTCTCTAGGCCGCCTTGCTTTCCAAATCTGGTAATCAAGAGTGACTTTGTCGATAAGAGGCCCTAATCTCATTCTTTGTGTTTTTTTCCATGCTTGGATTAACTGCTCTCAGGTTCTTGATGGATTCGGTTCCCCATAAATGAATTTTACTTAGGCTAAGCCATGAATGGTAGGAACAAATTATTTTGCACCAAATTGCCTAAGCACCATCAACGGAGCATAACTTACCATGCCCCATAGCCCTAACAGCGGTATCCACGTCTCTTTTCCTCCACAATACAACAAAGGCACTCGAGGCATCCAAGGTGCCATCTATTCAATTTCATCACCAGTAATCCTTCATAAGAAAAAGACCCATTCTTCTTTAATCTTTAATGTTGGCCATTGACTCTTGCAAAACTCTTCAATTGGTGCTTTGTTTCATAGATATGGCTTTGAAAATGCACTCTTCCCACATTTAAAATGACTTTTAACCCATACATATAATAGCGGTGCACATCTTATGAACCATCCCTTTTCATTTCGTTGATAGAAATTCAATGATTGAATGGTTTTTGCTAAGGTTGCTGGTGCACGATTAATTGCTTGGGTTTCAATTTGCTCAAAAAAATCTACCACAGTTATCTCAATGTAACCCAAAGTCTTTGGAAAGATTATCATGCCATATAATGGTAAAGCAAACACAGCCATGCCTTTGTCACCATTTAAATGCTCCTGAATGAAGTTTCGAAGAAAGTCCTAATGAATGCCGATAT